TCCTTGAGACGAAATTTTTGTTTTCTTGAGTGTTTCCTAATTTGGTAATTTTGATGCGATTGAGAAAGAGTTTTTATATTAATAATTTTCTTAATTATTAAAAAATTAAAAATATATAATTAATTAAAAAATTTTAAAAATTCAAAATCAAATTAAAAATAAGAGAATTCTAAAAAAAATTAAAAAAAAATAATTGATATAAACTTTTTTTAATATAATTTATAAAACAAGTAAGATTTTTAAATTAAAAATATATATAATAAAAATATATAATTATTAGAATTTGTAATAATTTATAAAGTAATTTAGACTTTTTAAAATATAAAATTTTTTAAAAATTTGAAATTAGTTATAATATTATTAAATTTATAAACAAAAAAATAATTTTTATGTTTATTATCTTTAATTATATTTTAATATCTTCTATTTTCAGATTATAAAAACAAATTATTATTATTATTATTTAAAAAACTTACTTAAAGTTACAAATTTAATTACATTGGATTTATATTTCTTATTAAGTTAACCAAAAAGATATTTACAAATATAATTAATAAGAGGCTAATTAAAATATTAAAATATAACAATATTTTATCTAAACTTAATTATTATTAACTTATCTAATCAAAATATTATAAAGTTTTTATTAATAATAAGTATTGTTTTGCAAGCTGCTAATATAAAAAACTATGAATTTTGATTTGTTTATTTAATATTGTAAAAGTATTTGACTCAATATTTATTTAACAATAAAAATCTTTTAAAAAAATAATTGTCAAAGTTTTATCATTAATCTCTTTATTAATCTATTTAACAATAAAAAACATTTATTTATACTTTCTTTGAAATAATTGATCTTTTTATAGTTAACAATAAAATTTATAAATAATTTTTTATAATTTTTTTATTATTTAATTATTTAAATAACAATTTATTTGAAGCAATAATGCTTTTAATACAAGTTAAAATCAATTTTTAAATTTTATATTCATTATAAAAAATATTTTATAGTTATATAAAATTAAAATATATTTATATTATATATTTTTTAAATTTTGTATATGTTATATAAATAATGGTATTATATGTTTTAAATTTAATATTATCTAAAATTATATACAGTATAATAATTTTATTTAAAATTATAATATATAGTAATATATAAAAACCAATATATAGTTTTGTATTTTTTCAATAACCAATTGTTAAATTAAATATAAACATATCTGTTATTTCGCTATTTTTAATAGTAAAATTATAGGTTTTTATAAATATAAACAATTCTTATTAAAACTTTTAAAACCTTTTCATACTGTTAAAACAAATAGCAAAATAAATATATTGTATTAAAAATATCTAAAAAATATTTATTTTATTATCTTTAATTAATAATAATTTTGATTATAGAAAACATTTGTTTTAAAATAATAATGTTTTAATTCATATTGCTAAAGATATTAACAACGGATTTCAGCAAATAAGATTAAAGATTTTATTTGATTGGCCAAGTCTATTTCTGATTTAAATCCAATTGGACCTTTGTGATTTGAATTAAAAAGAAAAGTATAAAATATAAAAAATCTTAATAAATTATATAAAAAATACTGTATGTAATGAAGAATAAAAGCAATTATTAAAAATAATTTAATGTATATACTGTAAATATAATTAATTACACAAAACATATTATATTAAATGTAAAATTTATGTAATTAGTAAATTTATGATGAGTGATACTTTCGTTCGAGTAATTTATTTTTTAAAAAAATGGGATTAACTTTTATAAATGCAAACTGTAAATTGATTTTATACGTTAATAAAAATGGACTGTATACAGTACATAGTACTGTACATGTATGTTTTCAAATAATTTATTCAATTCAACAATCAACCGTCATATGGTCGGACAATTTTCGGAGATGTTGGAATAAGATTAATCTGGAATATTGTTAATGAAGTTTAAGCCATCTTAAGGCGCTCATACAGATGTGCAATTTTTTTCCCATCGTACGGGCCGTAAAAGAAATATTCTTTGGAACAAAATGATTTCATGGTATTACAGGCAGCTTCATTATCTGTCCATCTAAGTTAAAATTCTCATGCATGTACAGTATGTACAGGTCGTACTTAGTAACTTCGATAACCCTTTAAAATCCACGCAGTATTGTATATAAAGCTTTCCACTTCTTGCTTGTTTGCAATCTACCAAAATGTATTCCTATCACTTACCCGAAATACCTTCGAATTCTTTGGATACATCCGTGACCAGTGATCTCCATGATACTCGTATAGAGGTTTGTGATAGGGCAACTGGTGATGTCAAAATCATCGATGCAAATTCAAACGTTCTACGCAAAAGATGCGAATACTTTAATATCGCATTGTCGGAAAAATGGGCGAGAAGAGTTAATAATCAGTACAAATTAAGATTAGATGTTTCATATGAGGCCTTTGAGATAATATTAAAGTAAGAAATGGTGCAAAGTGAAACATTTCTTTTAAGTTACTGAGCCAACCAATACTTTAAATTTTGTAGCGGAATAAATAATGGAACGATCATCGTGAAAAATCCGAATACGGATATTTTGATGGAACTAATGTTAGCATCTGATATTCTTCTTCTCCATGAGTTTTATAACTTTTTAAGAGCCAAATTAGACGAAAAAAAGGATAAGAACAAAGAATGGAGTGACCAAGACATCGTCTCCATATCAAAAGTCTCCTACCTAATCGCATCTGCTCAAGACATTTACTTAATTTGCCAAGATATCCTGGCAGAAAGGCCATCTATTTTATTTGGATCACCTGAATTTCTGTCAATTGACGAAGATTTATTATTGCGAATTTTAAACTTGGACTTGATTTGTCTGCCGGAAATTACAATCTTCAATAGATTAATCGAGTGGGGCATTCATAATACCCCCAATTACGATACCTTGACCGACGATTCATCTCGGATCAATGCATTGGGAGTCACACTAGAGAATGCACTGCAATTGATTCGATACAGTAACTTGAGTCCAAAAGATAGGTCGTCAACCTTGTACTTTGCACAAATCTTACCCGCGGCGAAAACACAAAAACAAATTCCACCTCGTATAAACTCACCTATTGAACCAACAATTATTAGTAGCAGATTTGCTGGGCTCATTTCAACATGGATTGACCGACAGGATCCTACGCAACAATACACTGGTGTCAACACACCATTCGAATTTAGGCTTGTGTTTCGAATGGACGATCGGACCACCTTCTACGATGTACATCATAAATACTACAATGGATCTTCCGACCGATTCTTGCCAACAATTAAAGGTCACCATGGACCTTCATTAATGATAATGAAACTTAGTTCAGGAAAAATAATTGGCGCATATAATCCCATCGATTGGAAACAAGACATACCGAAAAAAATGTATGCTTGTACGACCGAAAGTTTTATTTTCTCAAGTGAGGATAGGTATGGTACGAATCATCGGTTGAGCAGAGTTCGCGATTTTGATTGCGCAATTTGCCTGGAAAGCGTAAAGCCAAGTGGTGTACTATTAAAGTTTGGTGAAGACTTGGTATTTCATTATGTGAAAAGATATGTTACTTGTCAGATTAATAACCGGTTTTATGAGCATCCGGCGATATTAGACGAAGGCGGATATCAAATTGTTGAATGGGAGATTTTTAGAATTAGCAGAAAAGATGATCAACCAATTGTCGTAATAAACGAAGAAATCAAGAATAAAATTCTGCCTCCTATTAAATCACCCACTGATGCAAAGATTATTGATAGCCATTTTTTAGGATTAATTGCGACATGGATCGGTCGAAAGGATCCAGTAAATTCACGATACACTAATTATAACATGCCATTTCAATTTACGACCTTATTTCGAATGAAAGGAGATGAAACTTTCTGTGAAGAACGTAGTGAATATTATAACCAATTAACCGATAGACTATTGCCAACAATGAAATGTCACCACGGACCTTCTTTGATGTTAATAAAGCTCAAGACATCAGGAAAGATAATTGGGGCTTATAATCCCATCCATTGGGGACAAGATTCGGGAAAATTAGAATTGCAATATCAATACACATCGGAAAGCTTTATTTTTTCGGGTGAGGATGCGCACGGAAAAAATAATCGACTGAGCCGCGTTAAAAACTCTTATCAAGCAGTTTTGTCAAGTAAGCTAACCTCTCTATCGCCCAGTGGAATTAAAGTCCCTGATGGTATGGTGTTAGGATTTGGCAATACTTTACGTTTCTTTTACAATGAAGGGAACGGAAGACCTCCCTCTGTCGTTTGTCGCATCAGCAATGACGGATCTTATGAAGGACTAGCGATAATGCCCTCAAATGATTACGAAATTGACGAATGGGAAATCCTCAGAGTCACCATGAAAGATAATAGAACCCCATCTCAAATCGATGCACGTGCTAGGCAAAAATCTTTTAGTAAAAGAGCTCGGTCCCGAGTTGCTCCATATGTAAAACCAAACAAAACCATAGACTATAGTTTTTCTTATTGTGATATTAGTGACATTGTTGACGATGAATTTTTTGCCACGATCGCGACATGGATTGATAGAAGAGATTCCCCATATAGCAATGATGACATGCCATTCCAATTCAAATGTTTATTTAAGATGAACGATAAATCGTTTCCACAAAAATACACTAATCAATCGACCTATAATTTACTACCAACAATGAAATGTCACCACGGGCCTTCGCTAATGATAATAAGAATTAAAGATTCCGAAGATATAATCGGGGCTTATAACCCAATTAATTGGCAATTGGAATCATCAAATTTCGGTAATGATAAATATGTTCACACGTCCGAAAGCTTTATCTTCTGTGAGGATCAATTAAGACGAGTTAAAAATTTCGACAAAGCAATTTCTCAAACAAATGCATATCCCAACGGTGTTCTGTTGAAATTTGGCCAAGACCTAATCTTTCGGTATGATCATGGAAATTTACACGATGATAATGATTATTATTTTGATTATGATGCTTGTTGTATGATGGAAAATGAGATGAGATGGCCCAAGGTCTTCCTTAGTATTAAGAGTAACGGATTCTATGAGCAACCAACCATATTTCCTGAAGGTGTTTACGAGATTAGTGATTGGGAAGTATTCAGGGTTATCAGAAGCTAATTTAGAAGTCACATTTATTTACAGTATTTATTTTATTTTATTTACAACAAAAAAGTTGAACATTTAAATACAAAATGATAATTATTAAAAAGATTGATTTTGAGGGCGATTATACGAATAAAAAATTTAAATTTTTACTTGAAATTTTTACTTATACTTATGAAATGAAAAGTTTTGTGTCAACAAAGAAAAACAAAAAATTTTCAAGATATTTATTAAAAAATTATGTTATAATAAATCAAAATATAACTTTTTATGGTTTTTTTATTTGTTATAACAAATTAAACAGTTGTATTTTTTAAAACTAAATTAAATTAATTTTAATAACAACAATAATAATTTGTTACTGATTCAAAATTAATACTAATAATGATCTTAAATATTTTTTAAAAAAATTTTTAAATTAATGTATTGTTTGAATAATAATATATTAAATTGTATAATTTCAAAAATAAAATAAAATAAAATGAAAATTTTAAATATACTGATAGGAATATAAATAATATTTCGTGATATTTTTGATTTACACAATTATAATCAAAAAAAGTTTTAATATCAAAATATATATTTTGATAAATATTATAATATTATAAATCTTGAATTAATATAATTTATTAAATCTAAAAATTAATAAAGTTATATAAAATAGAATTTCAATATTTTTTAATAAGTATTTCAAATAATTTAATTAATCCCTTTAAAGTTATTAAATTATTAAATAATATATAATTTTTATATATTGATAAATAATATTTAACAAGTTTTTTTTTTAAAAAAAAATAGATTTTAATTATGTATTAATATACCTATTTTGTAAGTAAATAAAAAAATTTTTATATTATAAATAAAATAATATTATTTAATATACATACTGTATATGGAAAATTATTTTCGAAGGCAAACCAGAAATTTTCTGGCGTGATCCTAAAATTTATACTACATATGTATTGTTTAAAAGTT